TATACCAGGTAGTCCAACTTCAGTAACCCTGCAAACGCCACTGCTGTTTAGTTTTCTGTCTTCATTTATGTTGGAAGTGATAGCAGAGCTGTACGTTTTAATTAGTTTCAAAAATCTCTCAGTCAGAACATGGTATGTCATGTTTAGGTGTAAACTAGCAAGCTTACTTCCTGTTAACTTTTTAATAAATTCTGTTTGCATGGATGCATGGATGTAAAACTTAATTGTTACACCCCATAAAGCAGCAACGCTGATGATTTAATTAAAGATGAAAGAATTTAGACCGTTTTTAACTCTTAGTGTTTGTTTGACTTTGGGACCTGAAACAGACGGAGTTTTGGACCCAGATTACTCTGCAAAGCTCCTCACTACGGCAGCCGTAATGCTCTGACAATCCATCAAGCAGTGCGGCTTACCAAAGTTGTACTAAAACATTTTTAGCAGATTTCTGCACGCCAAAATCGGTTCAAGGTCAGTAAGCACAACCAGAATTCATACATAAGGCACACTCTCAATTTTTGAGAAAATTAAAGGATTTTAAGTGTGCCTTATAGTGTGGAAAATACGTTATACAGAAGAAAAGAACATATCGTGATATATATCGTTACCGCACATGCTTCAAATTATATCGCGATATGAATTTTAGGCCATATCGCCCAGCCCAAATAATGATAAATATTTGCACTCAGCAGCAAAATCTTGTTAAATTTGGTTTAAAATCAATATGCTTAATGAATTTAATTCTGAATCATTTTAACTGAGGTCAGAGGAAAGCTGCTGCAGCAGGTTCAGTCTTTACATCCATATACGGAATATATCAAATCTGGGTTTGTTCAAGCAGTCTGAGTACAAATAACAATATCAATTATAATTATTAACGCCTCACAGACAGACACTGTGTGTCATTAAAACAGCACCCTGAGTCAGTCGGGCTCACGCTGACGGAGAAACAGGAAACGCTAGTTGGAGAGCAGCTGAAGATGGAGGTAAAGACAGATTATTGATCATCAGAGCGATGTCTGCATTCACGCTGAGCGTATCCTCAGCGAGGGCGTTCCATGACAGGTGGTACAGTGGTACAGGAGTACAGGATAAGAAAATGGAAGCATGGTGATGTCAGAGCCGTTTAATGAAGGGTGCAGTTTGTTATTCATCACACTTATGCAGCTGTGTGTGTGTGTGTGTGTGTGTGTGTGTGTGTGTGTGTGTGTGTGTGTGTGTGTGTGTGTGTCAGATCGCTGCAGCTCTTTCTGCTGACGCTGCAGATTATGAAACAGCAGTGAGAGGAGGCTGCTCACAGAACTGATCTGAGACTGATTTCTAAAAGCAGCTGCACAGACTCTGAGCTGATGAAGGCTGAGGATGAACCTGTTGCTGATTCACAAGTGTGCAGAGGTCGGGCCAGATGTAGAGAGAGCAGGAAAGGCAGCAGCCATATTTCAGAGTCTGCGAGGCCCCAATCCCCTCCACCCTTCAATTGAGTCCTCTGCCGCTCTCGCATCATCTGGCTGCGCAATCTCAGTGCTCTTTGTCTAAGTCACAGGTTAAAGCAAAAAAAAAAAAATCTTTATCCAGAGTAAACCTGCTGTCATGCCTTCTAATGGAGAGATGAGTGTTCATGACTACAATACAAAGAGGACACTCTGAAAACACTCTGAGACTTCTAACAATCAGAGAACAATAAGACACACAAGGCACAAGGGCATCAATGAAATCATCCAGAGGGGCACCACAATCATTTTTTTCAGGACCTGTCTTTGATATTGTGTAGACACTTCAACAGAGACATCAAAATAACCGGGAAATAAATTTGGATTTCATCAGCAAACTTCCTGAAAATCAGCAGCAGGTGTGATGAAAACAGAGTAGGACCCAAAACAAAGCCCTGTGGTACACCACAGAAAACACGGGCTAAGGAAGAGGAGGATTCTGCGATGGCTACAGAAAACAGCCTTTCTGACAGACATGAGCCTTCAGGACCAACAGCATGCTCCAGTTTAGATGAATGAATGTATGATCACCACAAGAGTCCAAAGCGATCTGAAAACTTGCCATTTTTAATAATAGGCTTCAGCTGGTACACAGCCTGATGACAAAAAAACATTTAATAAAAGTAAATTATACTAAAATATACTGTACTATATCCCTGGCCCAATAACGTGGAGCAAATCATTAAGAAGACGACAGGGGAGGATAGCTGGAATGGAATTAGAAGCTCTTAAATAATTACTTCATTTCCTTCCTTCCTTTCCTTACTTCCTTAAAGATTACTTCCTTTAAAACAAAGAAATGTCCCAGGCTCAGGAGTGTTTAGGAGGTAAAACCAGGCCCAGCAAAGCCTGTTAAAGCACAGATTTTATTCATTTTCACAAAGCACAGAAGAAGCCTCCACAGGAACAGTCACAGTTTTGGACACAGCCCAGGCAGTAACGGCTGCCATTAGTGAAACAAAGAGTTGTAACATGAGGTCTGTCTGTCTCTCTTCCTCACTGTAATGCGTTTGGAGACAACGACGATGATGCAACTCTAGATTAAATTTGGCACTCAGGAAACAGGAAGCAGAGCTCAGGCGCTCACAGCCAAATCATGCTGAGAAACCGCAATGCCACAAAGCTGCTGACAAGCCTGGTTTATAGTTTCACACCTGAGTCATTCACACAGCTTTATGAACACACATCTGTTTAACCCATTGCTGTAAAGTCACTGTGTGCACCAGGGGGAGCATCTACACTGTGATAAAGGGACAGGAGGTTCCAGACGTGTGAAGGAGCTGCTGGTTTCACTGGAAATGCAGATATTATGTGGACTCGGTGTCACTGTATGACGTCCTGCTCTATGTGAGGCGCCGGAAGTCCTCACAAACAAACTGACTCTTTCATCTGCTTCAGCAGCGGCTTTCAAACAGACACATGGGAGAGAGGCAGCATCAATGCAGCTCTCTGTTTCTGAACTGGTGACAGTGAGGTCAGTGCTGTTAATGTTCCCACAGCTGCAGTGTTCCCTCGCCTGCTCGGAGAAGACATGCCTTCATATTTCATCTGCAGGGCGACACAGGCGAGCCACCCTGCAGGCTGGACTCCACAAGTGACTGGATTTTAGTGTGCTCATTTCAGTGTGAAAAAAGCTGCAGACTTCACAGTCCAATCCAATTAGAAGCTGAGACACCCCGTGCATTCTGTACCACCCCAAAAACAACCACTAACAGACTAACTGACCACAGTGGACGTCTGTGTCTGTGCATGTTTAAACAGAGCAAATCAAAAGTCAGACTCCTCTTTGTGTGTCTATATCTATCA